GGTACATCCACCGTGGAAAACAGTTTGGGGGTTTCTCAAAAAGTTGAACACAGAATTACCATGTGACCCAGCAATTTCACTCCTACGTATATACCCAAAAGAACTGAAAACAGGTACTCAAACAAATATCTGTACACAAGGTTCATAGCAGCACTACTCACAATCACCAAAAGGTAGAAACAACTCAAATATCCACCAAAAGATTAAAGACAAACAAAATGTGATACATATACATAATGGAATGTTATTACTCAGCAATTAAAATGAATGAAGTACTGACACATGCTACAATGTGAATGAACCATGTTATGCTAACGAAAGAAGCCAGACATAAATGGTCACATATTGTATAATTCCATTTCTATAAAATATCCAGAATAGGTAAATCTATAGAGACAGAAAGAAGATTGGTGATTGCCAGCGACTGGGTCATGAGGACTACAAAGCGACTGCTTAATGGGTATGGAATTTTCTTTTGGTGTGATGAAAATGTTTTGGACCTAGACAGAGATGGTGGTTGCACACCACTACAAATGTACTAAATGCCACTGAACTATATACACTTGAAAATGGCTAATTTATGTTACATAAATTTTACCTCAATTTTTTAAATTTTTTTAAAAAAAGGAAGCAGCACATGATCTATACAAAGGAACTAGAAAAAAAGAAAAGAGAAAAACATAAGTTTACCTAAGAACATGCACAAGAAAACAATAAAGGAATGAAAACTATGATCAATATTTGGCACCAAATTACTAAATTTAATGAAGCCACCACCTCTACAAGACAAATGTAGGCATATCAGGCAGGAGACAGCAAGATTTCAGAAGGAGCTAAAATGTAGATAGCAGTGCTGGAGAAGGCAAGGGGAGGGAGTGTATGTGTGCTTTTTTTAAAATAAAGAATTCTAGAATGATTTAGCGCTTTTAAAAAAAGACAATAACAAGAGTTGATGAGGGTGTGCAGAAACTGAAACCCTCACACACTGATGGAGGGAACGTAAAATGGTGCAGCCACTGTGGAACAGTGTGCCAGTCACAAAAGTTAAACAGGAGTTACCAAATGACCCAGGAATTCTACTCTTAGGTATATACCCAAGAGAACTGAAAAGATATGTTCACACAAAAACTTGTAAATGAATGTTCATAGCAGCATTATTCATCATAGCCAAAACAGTGAAAACAACCCAAATGTCCATCAACTAATGAATGGATAAACAAACTGTGGCATATCTATACAATGGAATATTATTCATTCATAAAAAATAATGAAGTACTAATACATTCTAAAACATGGATGAACAACAAACATGCTGAGCAAAAGAAGCCAGACATAAAAAGCCATATATTGTATGATTCCATTTATATGAAATGTCCAGAATAGGCAAATCCATAGAGACAGAAAGATTAATAGATGCCAAGGGCTGGGCAGAGTATGAAATGGGGAATGACTGCTAATGGGTACAGAGTTTCTTTCTGGGGTAAGGAAAATGTTCTGGAATTAGAGAGTGGTGATGGTTGTAAAACCTTGTGAATACACTAAAAACCAATGAATTGTACTTTATATGAATTGTGTTTTACAATGGTGAATTTTATGTAATATGAATTATATTTCAGTTTTTTAAATGTTAAATTTTTAAAAAGTTGGTTTGCAAATTTGTCATTTAAAACCCAAGATTCCGGGGCCGGCCCCGTAGCATAGCGGTTAAGTGCACGGGCTCCACTTCGGCGGCCCGGGGTTCAAAGGTTTGGATCCCGGGCATGCACCGACGCACCACTTGTCAAGCCATGCTGTGGCAGGTGTTCCATATAAAGTAGAGGAAGATGGGCACGTATATTAGCCCAGGGCCAATCTTCCTCAGCAAAAAGAGGAGGACTGGCATCGGATGTTAGCTCAGGGCTGATCTTCCTCACAAAAAAAATAAATAAATAAAAAATAAATCTCAGGAAAAAAACCCCAAGATTCCTTTTCTTTTTGCATTTGTCTGAATTACGGAAGGTGGGGTGCTGAAGTCATTGAAATAAAAGGCAGTGAAAACTACATTCCTAGCAACACTGAGTCTCCAGTTAATGTCATATGCATTGGGATTCCTGTACCGGGTGATAGTTTGGATTACATACCTGGAGGGCTCCCCCTTCCAGTTCTCAACTTAAGAGAAAGTGATTAAATTTCCCAAGTTGAGTCACAAAAGCTGTTTAAGTGTTATCTCCTTCTCCACCTGCAAAGTACACCATGGTCTAAAAGTATCAACCTTCTCTCTCCCCATTTTCTGTTCTTTCCACACAGACGATCTCAGCTAGAGAAAGAGGAAAGCAATTTATTTAGCTAAATCATAAAAACGGCGAATGATCAACAGCTGTAAACATGATTCCCTCTCCTCAACTCCGCCAACTCTCTAGGCCCCAAATAAGTATTATTTGGGCAATATAAGAAAGGAAAGTTTAAAACATTTAGGGGTCAGCAAAGGTTGCCTGGGAGTTGATACTTGGGAACAAAAGTGCCATCAAGATCAACATTCTACTGGATGGAAGGAAGCATGCCCTTAGATTCAGCTTCCCTGCTTTTTCCAGTTTCATGCATTTTAAAATCAGACTCACTAATGCACTTTTCAAATTAGGACCTATGCACCACCTGCATCAGAGTCACTTGTGGTGCCTGGCCCACCCTAGACTCATAAAATCTAAATCTCTGGGGATGGGGTCCAGAAACTATTTTCAAAGTGATTCTCATATACACTAAGTTTGAGAATCGCTGTTCTAAAAAGTTCAACAAAATGGGATCCGCAGCCGTTTAAGGTGTATGTAATGTGTAAGAGAGAGACAATACCTGTAATATGAAGACGTGATCACTGCCACTAACAAGTTTACCAGTCAGAACTAAGTACCAAACACTTATGATGTCTGGAACTCACTCACCGTACACTACTCCAATAAATATGAATGTGAGGCGTGTGCTGTCCATACGTTACACAACATTAAATGGCACAGATGACAAAGTAGTGGTGCAACTGTATTCAAATCAAGTAGAGAAAGTTTTTCTTCAACATATTGAGGAAAATATGGAAAAAAAGACATTGTTTCTATTCTTTTTTATTTCTTCTGTACCTGAATAATAAAGGATTGAACTTCAGCTAACAAAAATCTAAATAGAGATAACCTTCATTAAATCAAGTCTAAAAACTGAGTAATTTCAAACATCAACACGCAAATGTGGCATATAATTGTTACTACTAGGACTGTTTTTGCTACCACGTGTTCATGGCTTTCATAACGGTGAGATCTTTACTTTTCGACCCTGCCCCTCCCAATTTTGCTGACAGGTTTACTCACTGAAATAAACTCTGTTTTGTGTGAAAAAGAAATCCTTCTTCATTTTAAACTATTTATGCTGACACACTATGGCCCTGATTCTTTTACTGCTTCCAGCTTAAAAACACTGAGAATCTCTTAAAAGCACATGGAAAGAAAGTCTCTGGTCTACCGCTAGGAAACACTTCCAAATCACTAACAAAGAAGATTTAATTTACATCATCTCCTCTAATTCTATTTACAAAAACAGGTCGGTTTTGATAAAAGTCCCAGTGTTTTAAAATATTATCTAGTTACAGTGAGCAATATTCATTCATTCAAAACATTTACGGAGCACCTGCTACATACCCCAGACTGTTCCATGGGCTAGAAATAGGAACACAGCAGCGAAGAAAATATGCTCAATAAAAATACTGCTCATAACTTATTATGTTGATGATTCAGAGTCTCCAATCATTACAGATATTGAGTTACAAATATCATAATACATGTAGGCAAGATTGAGCAGAATCTATACCAATCGTATAGCAAACAAGGAAATTTGTTTCTGATAATTTCTATTGCCTTAACTATTTAAAAGCAAAAAAAAAACAGTGCAGGATGTGTATAGTTTCCAAGATCTCCAGTGTCTGGACATACTATATAGTATTTTGAACATTAAGTTCCCTCTCATTTTATACCCTACACTTTAACTTTGTAGCAAGATGTAGCAACGCACCTCATGGGAAAATGAAGAGGAAACCGTCCCCCTCTCAATAGAAAATATCATTAATAAATGAAAACACAATATCAACATACTAAGTAATCTATAAAATGCGTTTCTCTGAGCTCTAATAATTTCTATGATTCCTCGTCAACCAAGAAAAGCAGCAGGCAAAGAAAATGAAACATACTTCTCCTCCGTCACTCTAGAAATAATATAGTCCTTCAATATTTCTGCATATTAAAAAATTGTATGTATAAGAGACCCAACATGAAAAGACCAGAGAACTCCGATCGCCAATTTCGATGGAAGACAAAAACCACAGCCTACGCAGAAAAATTGCATATTCCTTCCTAACACCCACAAACTCCAGATACAAGTGGTTTGGGTTTGTTTCGTTTGTTTGTTTTTTAACTGCTTCGGCCTTCTCGAAAGCTGGAGGGATTACGCTGCAGGCAAACACTCAGGTGCTACACAGTAGCGGCTTTCGGAGCCCTGTTCGCGCGGTTCCAAAACTGACCCCGCAGCCCCCGAGCAAGGCAGGGAGGGAACTGACACACCTGCCGCCCGGAAACCCACGGAGACCGGGCCAGCCGGCCCACCACGAGGCCCGCGCGGCCCCGCGTGTCCCGTGTCCCCCAGGTGCCCTTGGAAGCAGCGGCCCGCGAGCGAAGCCGCGCCCAGTCCCCGCGGACTCCAGTTCCGCCTGCCGGCCTGTCCCCCACCACCCCCCACCAGCCCCCGGGACCCGCCGGGCCCGCCGCTCCGACTCCGCCCCTTGCCTCCCGGCCGGGCCCCAGACTCCCAGCCCGGGTGCGCCGCAGCCCCGGGCGGGCAGGCGCGGCAGAGTGCGAGGAGCCCCGGGGCCCCCCGCAGCGCCCTCCTTTCCCAAGGCCGCAAAGGCCGCCCCGGCAGCGGGCGCCGCCGCAGCCCCGACCAGGCCGGCGCCCCGGGCTCTGGCCTGGGCGGACGCCGCCCTCGTCTCTCACCTGCGTCCCCACCACGACGATCTGAGGCAACTGGATGATGTCGGCGCCCACCGTGTTGAAGACGTCCTGGAGCTTGTTGATAACAGGAATTAGCGCCTCCATGACTCGGAAAACACGGGACCCCCGCCCCGCCGGCCGCGGCAATGAATGGGGCCGGGGCCCAGAGCCCGCCTCCTTCCTCCTCTCCTCCGCCCTCTCCTCGGGAGCCGGCACCCATTGGACCCCGCCCGCCCGCTACCTGCCCCCTCCCGGCAGGCCATGCGTCAAGAGGGAGGTGGAGAGGAACAACGCCTGCCGGGAGTTGTAGTTCTGGGGCGGAGGACCGTCGGGGCCTACGGCTTCCAGAAGGCTGCGCGGCGCGGGCTGGCCCGGAGCTGGGAGTGAGGAGTGGTTGGCGCCGGGAAGCTTACCAGGTCCGGAGAGTAGGAGGAAAGAGATACATTTATGTCTGTCCTCGAGGCGTAGTACGTGTAAAAATGCCGCGTATGAATATGTGTTAAGTATAGCGGAGTGTCTTGATTCTGCAAGATGTCATTTTTTTATGAGGACGCTTTCTCCCGAAGGGCGGGTTGGAAAGGCTGAAAGAATAGCTCGTAGCCCCAAGACACCCCAGCCAGGTGCAAAAGGTCTGTAGACTGATACTAGGGTGGGGTGTTATTCAGCAAAAATACAAAACCAGCTCAGGTTAGAACATGCGGGTTCTCCAGGATATTTGTTAAAATGTGTTCAGACTTAAGAGTGTCAGAGTTTTTAGAGGGGAAGGGCTGGACCCTTGTTCTCTATATGCTGTATAAATCTTTATTTGCTGTGGCGTGATTCCTGGCAAATTGGAGATGTAATAACTGCCTTGCTAGCCTTTTTGCTAAGTGCGACTGCTGTTCTATTGCTAAATGTTGTTTTTCTTTTTAAACAGATAACATGGCTCTACGCCAAACCTCCAGAGTTTTCCTATCTCAAAGTTTAAAAAGGTGACATTTGAGCAAAGACCTAAAGTAGGTGAGGAGAAAGCCCCCTTCCCTACTGTATTTTTCTGCATAGCATTTATCTCCATCTAACATGCTATGTATTGAACTTGTTTACTCTCTCTGGCCTCTTGCTAGATTATCAGCTCTTAGAGGCCAGGGATTTTTGACTGTTTAATTCACTGATGCATCCCTAGCCCGTAGAAAGTGACAAAGAAGATAGTCCTAATCTCAGTCCCCTCTGAGTTTACAATCTAACAGATTATGACACCATTATAAATAAATGTGTAATGTGCTATGACTGGGTGTATTATGGAGCATGTAATAGGAGCACTTTTTCTAGTGGGGGGTTGGGTGTGAGGGAATGAAAATTCAAGCAAGGCTTCCTAGAAGTCACTAGATTTAATCTCCATGAGGGCAGGGACCACCTGCGGTAGCGGAAGTTGTACACTACACCAACTTCAGTGGGTACTATTCACCTGCACAGCCATACACAGTAGCCCTGGGGAACATACAAGCCAAGACCTGATTGCCCACTAGTGGTGTTTCAGCATCTTATCAAGTTTTATGAGTCTTCCCTTTGCTTCGATTCCTTTTTTAAAAAATTTCAGAGACAAGGGCCAGCCCCGTGGCTTAGCAGTTAAGTACTCGCGCTCTGCTACTGGCGACCCGGGTTCGGATCCCGGGTGCGCACCGCCGCACCGCTTCTCCGGCCACGCTGAGGTGGCGTCCCACATACAGCAACTAGAAGGATGTGCAACTATGACATACAACTATCTACTGGGGCTTTGGGGGAAAAAAGAAAAAAGAGGAGGATTGGCATGGATGTTAGCTCAGGGCTGATCTTTCTCACAAAAAAATAAAAATTTCAGAGACAAACTGCGACAAAAATTTCAGAAATCCGAAGACAGCAGACAAAAGAGATTTATTCCAAGTCCTTTATTTTCTACCCAAGATGATGTAGTGTAACAATCAGATGTAACCCACTTTGCTTCTCAGCCCTCTGTTGATGGAACTTTTGTTCTCTTCTTTTTCTCTCAGCAGTCTGTGTTCCTTCCAAGAAGAAAAGGCTGACAGATGGAGAGGGTAGGCTCATGGTAAAGCTCCATGGCCATATCCAGTAACTGCTTCATAGGGACAAGGTGCCCTGGGGCAAAAATGATGCAGCTACAGCTGTTTTTCCCTTATTTGTGGCACCAATAGACATAGTCTTTTCCTATTTGCTAATGGCAAAATTAAAAGAGCATGTATACGTATATTCCAGAGAGAGAGACGTCATGAATTTTGCATGGCATTGTATATTTCCATTTAAATTATAAAATATCTGTTGGGATGGAACATACAATGCCTTGTATTAACATGCTTCAGGAACAATAGTGACTGCTTTTTAGTTCTATCTTTTTTTAGGAGAAGGAAGAATGATCAAATGGCCAGTGCTCAAAAATCCTCATATCACCCCCACCACCAGTTAGGTTTAAACAGGATTGTCCAGTACTTGTCTGTACTCTAGAGCATGGGGTTCATCAAGCACAGAGGAAAAGAAAAGTGTTTGAGGCTGCAGATACAGGAAGTGGTGAGGCCTTGGAAAAGGGTGGCTCTAATTTGATAACATTTTTTTTAACATAAGGCCGGATACTCTACGTGCGGTGTGTTTCACTGGAAGCAAACAAGGCAAACCAATTTGGGTTTTCACATTTTAAGTTCTGAATATTCTTGCTTGTGGGAAAGCCACTTAGCTGATAAGTACGTCTTTCCTCACCTAAAGTCAGATTCTTAATGTGAAATCACATTAAGCCATTATCTGGTACTGTCTCCAAAGGCTATTTTAAAAACTCTTCTCCGGGTGCGCCCCTGTGCGCGCTCCCCTGCTGGCGGCCTGGGTTCGGATCCCGGGCACGCACCGACGCACCGTTTCTCCGGCCATGCTGAGGCCACGTCCCACATACAGCAACTAGAAGGATGTGCAGCTATGACATACGACTATCTTCTGGGGCTTTGGGGGGAAATAAAATAAATAAATAAAATCTTTAAAAAAAATAATAAAAACTCTTCTCCTTCAGCCATCTCACTCTCACTGTAGGTTTATAATTAATGATTTAGGCAGGACAGTTTGGTTGCAAGTCATAGAAATTTAACTCAAACTAACTGGCTCAAAAGAAGGAATTAATTAACTTGTATAACCAAAGGGCCAGCTTGGCGTTGGCCTCAAAAATAACTGGAACCCGGGACTCAGGCAGCACCAGAACTCTCTCTACCTCTTATCTCTGCTTCCCTCTGCATCATCTACTTCTTAAACCAACTTATTCTTGTGGATGAAGTGAGCGGGCAGTGGTGGAGGCCATAGGGGGTCTCACTATGCAAGCTGCCTCGGGGCAATGACGAGTGAGTCTGGGGAGGAACTGAAACTAAATTTCCACCCTCTTTCCCTGGTCTATGAGTTTCCTATTGCTGCCTTAACAAATTGCCACAAACTTCTCGGCTTAAAACAACAAAAATTTATTATCTTACAGCACTCAAGTTCAGAAGTCCAACTCGGGTCTTACTGGGCTAAAATCAAGGGATCATCATTCTGGAGCCTCTACAGAAGAGTCCATCTCCTTGCCTTTTCCACATTTGAGACCACTCACATTCCTAGCTCTTCACCGCCTTCCAACCTCTTCAAAGCTAGCAATGTCACATCTCTTCAACCCTTCTTGGCTCATCACATCTCTCTCTGAGCACAGCCAGGTAAGTTTCTCTGCTTTTTTTTTTTGTTTTTTTGGTGAGGAAGATTGGCCCTGGGCTAACATCTGTGCCCATCTTCCTCTACTCTATATGTGGGATGCCTGGCACAGCATGGCTTGCTAAGTCGTGCGTAGGTCCACACCCGGGATCCAAAACTGCAAACCCCGGGCCACCAAAGCGGAGCATGCGAACTTAACCACTATGCCTTCAGGTTGGCTGAAAGGTTCTCTGCTTTTAAGAACCTGTCATTAGATTGGCCCACCTGGATAACCCAGGACACTGTCCCCATCACAACATCTGTACCTTTAATCCTATCTGCAAAGTCCCTTTTGCTGTGTAAAGTTCACAGGTTCCAGGGATCAGGGCATAGACATGTTTGAGGGGCCATTATTCTGCCTGCCACACCAAGTGAGGGTGATTGGTCTGGGGATGGACCTGACCCAAGCAGGACCTTTTAGAGGCCTTCCCTGAGAATTTTTTAACTTGAGTTCACCAGAGAATTTTCTCTCTCTGGTTATGGAACTGTAAGGATGCTGAGTCATTGTCTCCAGAGATCGTGTTTCCTACCACAGGGAATAAATTGGTTTTGGAGATTAAAATAGACTCCTTATTCACTGTAAAAATACTTCCCAAATCCAACAATTGTCCCGTACTTCTAAATGTACATAGACAGCACATAATCTAGGAATTCAAATCCCCGAGGTTCATTACTCCTTCTTCTCCTTGTTGCCTTTTTCACACAATATTGGCTATTATTTATTGAGTGCTTACTGTATGTGAGGCACTGTGCTAAGCGTTTTACAATTGCCTTGTGAGATAGGTTTACAGATGTGGAAAGTGAGGCTCCAGGAGTTTAAGTAAAATGGTACGTTTACGGGGCCGGCCCCATGGCGTAGTGGTTAAGTGCGCGCGGTTCGCTGATGGCAGACCAGGTTCAGATCCCGGGCATGCACCGACGCACCGCTTCTCAGGCCATGCTGAGGCGGCGTCCCATATAAAGTGGAGGACAATAGGCACAGATGTTAGCCCAGGGCCAGTCTTCCTCAGCAAAAAGAGGAGGATTGGCATGGATGTTAGCTCAGGGCTGATCTTCCTCACACACCCACACAAGAAATAATACATTTACATAGCTGATATGTGGCAGAGCTGGGATCTAACAGGCAGCCTGCCGAACTCTGAACCTCTACACATACTGCCTCATTTATTCATTCATTCCCTTATTTATTCAACACATATTTATCAAGTACCTATTAGACATGTGGATCTTAGCCAGGCACTATATTTGCCAAAGGGAGGGGGTACTGTGGACATGACAGTAACATGCCCTTCCCCCTTAGCCACCAGTGAGCTCCCTGAGGGCAGAAGTGGTGTCTTATTTAGCTAGTAATCTCCACCACCTAGTATGATGCTTGTTACGTAGTACCACTCTAGTGGACTTAAGATTTCCTTTTCTTTTACTTGGAAAGTCTGGAATAGCCAGGATTTGAGCAGCTCTGAAGTGGTACAATTTCAACTGGGATTTGCAATCAAACCCAGCCAA